AGTGATAGGACAAGAGGAAATGGCCTCAAGTTGTGCCAGGGGAGGTTTAGATTGGATATTAGGAAAAATTTCTTCACTGAAAGGGTTGTCAAGCACTGGAACAGGCTGCCTAGGGAAGTGGTTGAGTCACCATCCCTGGAGGTATTTAATAGACGTGTAGATGTGGTGCTTAGGGACATGGTTTAGTGGTGGACTTGGCAGTGCTAGGTTAACGGTTGGACTTGATGATCTTAAAGGTCCTTTCCAACCTAAATGATTCTATGATTCTATGAAATACAATAAATACCTTGTTAGGAAAGCTGTGAATCTGAACTGGATGAGCAACAGATGTGATAAGAATCAGGGCAGCTTTATAAAAGAAATTACATTCTTCTCTCCCTTGTCCCTTCATCCATGGAAACTGGAGGTTTCAAAAGCCTTGATGACAACACTGTTCACCTCTATATTGGGGTTTTGAACAATGCATTTAGGTAATTACCAAGTTTGCCATATAGCCTATTCCTCTGTAATCCCAAATACACCCTGTGTAGGCCTCCTGTGTGTATTTCTCCCCTTTAAAAGTATTCTCTGGTATTTTCACATCTTCTCACTATTTGAAGCCTATAGAGTATTTTTCCCTTGGTACTGTTGTTATTTTTTGGTGATATGTGGATACCATGCTTGTTGCTGTTAGAGGGTTTTCCTTAGGGTCAGAACTGATGGAAGGGATCAGCGAAGTCAGCTGTCGTTGTCCTGGCCTTGCAGGGAAAGGCTGCTGCTTTTCACCTGTGAGCTCCTGCTGAGTGGTTAAGAGGGGAAGAATTGCTATCTTATGAGCATTTGGCAGCCAGCAGGGCATTAGGGGAGCATGGACTGTTTTTTCACCATAGCATGCTCACACTTGCACAATGATCAAGAAGGGATATGCAGATTTTCTCTCATTTCTCTTCTTTCTTCTCCTCCACTTTTTTGGGAGTTTCAGAAAGATCATATAGCTAATAACACATTTTCCCATTTTCCTATTTCTTTCTTTTCAATTTCCTATTTCCATCCCTTAGTTCGTAAAAAGAATTTAAAAAAAAAAAAGTTCTAAAACTTTTCACTGAGCAACTGCTTAATCAGGAAAGCTTGCATCGTTCAGTGACTTTGTTTTGTTCATTCTCAGCATATCTTTTAGGCTGCCAGTGGCCACGTCATTTATAATCGCTCTCTGTGTCAGTATTTTAAAACTGTGTAGGAGGGTGAAAAATACCATAGTTGAGAAGACTGAAATATGAGAAAGACCAGCAGCAGGAACTTTCCCTTAAATTTTCTTACTTCAGCATTTTACTGGTGTATTCTCATAGTCAGAAGTTCTAATGCAGCTCTGTTTTTTTTTCAAAAAGATAGAAACCATTTCCCACTTTTGACTTAATTTGTTCAAACTTGGTGAGTTTCAGTCTACTAGGTGTAAGTAGTGCTTTTTGAAATTACTGAACTTGGCTTTGTTTCAGGTGGAAACCTCAGAATTGCAAAGATTTGCATCTCATAAATTGTGATCTCCTTAGTAGATCTCTGGGGCCATTCCTTTATCTCCCTCCTCCTTTCTTCTGATACTTCTGATACTATGACAGAAGTTACTGTTTACTTCCATGGGCTGAGGAAGCTTATTAGCTGTTGCTGATGTTGAACGGGTGTGTAGGCTGACTGGGGTTTGGACAGCATAGACTTTACTATGCTCTCTTGATATATAGGGAGTCCAGCTGCTTGCCACCAATTAGAAAAAGTTAAGGGGGATTAATATGCTACCCTTGAGGCCAAAGGTGGCAAATAGCATTACAGGCTTCTTGGCTTCTTCATAAAGATGGTGCAATGCAGGGAGTCAAGCTTTGAGATAAGGGACCATCTAGACGTCAAAGGCTAATGTTATCCAAACATGGATATTGAATTTAAGGCCAATTTACATTATTTTGTGAAAAACATTGATTTCCTAGAAAATGGGAAACGATACACCTAATTCTTTGTTGAAAGTTGTTTCAGAAATGTCATTTATGTACCAAGTGTAGGGCAAAAAAAACATTTGGAAGACAATATGCTGAATATATTTGTAACATGCACATTTTCTTTTGTCTTATTTTCAAACCAACAATAAAATGGCTGATGGGATGTGGCCCAGGCCACTTTACAGCAGAACCCTCCTCTATTTCTATCACATGTATGTCACATACGTAGATAGTACAATATAAGCAATATTGACCATTTAGTTGAGGGCAAGATATGGAGAGGCTTGTGAAATGACATGTGGCATCAGATATTTTGTTTTGAGCCTTTGTATTCTAGTGGCCTCAGTAAAGAATCATATATTCTTCAGAACACATCCATTATAGTCTCACCATGTAGTTTGAGGTCTGCTCTTTTAAAATCCATTCACGTAAAAAAGTGACCGTATCTCTTTTCACCATTGAAAATTTTCCTTAGATGGTCACTTCTCAAAAACTTCACTTTACTTGTGTACAGGTCATAGAAAAAAATCAAATCTTGATCTGCACTGTATCTTCTAAGGCTATATGGAATTTGTATAGGAAATATTAGGTATAGTAAAAACTGATTTATAAAATTATTCAATGAACTAATCCAGTACTTGTTCCTGCAAATCCTTGTGCTTGCGAGAGATGACTTGTGTTTGTAGTCAGTGAAATTGATGTAAGTACAAGTATGTTTGCTTAAGATTTGACCTCTAGATTGTACCTTAAGAGTAAAGTGCTTGTGGCACTTTAGATTCAAAATCTCTTTTCATCTTTAATGTCTGGAATATCATTGACAGATTATATGGCCTTACCCAGGGAGGGGAGAGGAGGAAGAAAAAGGGAAGAGTGTGTAGCTTTCTTCAGTTTAAGCTTAATTTGCATTGTTGGATTTCTTTTCAAAAGTGAAACATAATTGTACTATAGTCAATATGATTTTGTCTTCAGTGAAACCAAGGTTTAATCTAGCTACCTAAACTTAATAATCATGAAGAAACTGCATCTTTTCATGGTGACCAGGTGTCGTTCATGAAGCCTTGTAAATCACAAAAATGTGCTATACTCTTCAATATTTCATGGATGGTAAACTTCAGTAATATCTAGCAAGCCTTCAGAAGTATGTAAACTTTGGGCCAACTTTGAACTTTTTCTCAGTATGCTTTGGAAACATATACTGGTGAAATAGAGAGGCTAAGCTATTTATTCCCGGCCAAAAAGAATTATTGCCTAATTTAGAAAAACGGCTTCACATCTCAAAGTCCGACTACTAGCACTTTTGTTCTGAAATGTACTTTTTTTCCTTCTTTTCATTCTGTAATTTTCTCCATCAGAGTCATATAAGGCAAAGGCAGAAGTAAAATCCAGAGATAATGGATCAGCTTATTAGAGATGATTGTTCTCTGACAGTACTGGGACGACTAACAAAAGCTCGCAGTGTTGACCAGCAAGCTGCTCCTCAGAGTGTGGATGCTGCATACTGCTGTGGTTTTAGGAACACTTTAAAATAATGGTCCAGTTAATTAATACTGAGTTACAGTGGGGATCCCATAGAGGTACATATGACACACACATTAATATCAAATGATCTCATTATGATTCATGCTGTTACCATAAATATCAAAGGAATTAATAATGATTTGTCCATTACTTTAAAGGGTTAGTGCTGCTGGTATAGGTCCTTGAAGTACTTCAGTGTGTGGGTTTTTTTCCCCTGTAAAACACATCCTTAATGCCAGCGTTCACATTTTTCTTCTGAGATAAATGTAATATTTTTTAACATATATATAATTTGTTTATTTAATGTAGGGCAAATATCAACCATTAATGCCCTTGCTTTACAAGCAACTAGACACAGAACCCCAAGGGATTTTTGCTTTAGGAAGCCTGTCAAATGTGGTAGGATTGATAGCGTGAGATTTACCAGGACTTCCTCCCACACACATCTCTGCTGTCTGACTTGAGTTTAGCCTCTCGCTTTTCTAGAAGAGAAAAGAATCGAGGATTCTGTGAAGCACTTCACCATACTCAGCTCTGCATTGCTTTAGCATATAAATCTTTTGAAGTATAACTCTTCAAAGCTCAGCTGAAACAGTTGTGTATACACTTTTATTTACAAAGCATTTCTCCATTCAGTAGAGGGGAAAATCTTCTCTCAGTTTCAAACAGAATCTTCCTCAATGTAGTTTCAAACAATTCCCTTTTAAGGGAAGGAAAGATGAACTGAGCTGTATTTTTACAACACGAAGATGTTTTCCGTAATGGGAAGATTAGAAGGCATCCTCTGAACTGAACTCACTTCTAATGAATCCTATAGCTTTGCATTTATTGGCCTTAAGATTTCACACTTAAATAGCTTTTAAAAAAGGAGAATATTCAGAAGTCAGAAATATGGAGGAATAGCCCTGAGAAAAAGGATTCCTTTGCAAGCTCAACTTCCAAAGTCTAAGCAAAACTGTAAAATTCAATCTTTAGTTCATTACATTCAAAACATTCTGTGTGTATAGTCTGTACAGGATTCATGCTATCCTATCCTGTACCTTTGGAAGAACAGAGATTTAGATTTCCTTATAAATGAGATAAGCAATCACCTGCAATTTTTGAGTTAGTATTAGCCAACTACACCAGAAGGACCATTCTCTCCTCTATCTAAAAGTCTTACTAATATTTATTTTGAGTTTGCAAATATGTTTTCTTTCTTTAGATTGAACAGGTAAGGAATAGTTTACTTCAGGACTTTTTCTACAGCATACTGAGAAGGAAACAGCAATCCATACTATTTTGTGGTTTTGTTTAGAAAAGTGGGTAAAACTGTTTTCCAAAACCGCCCCCCGAATTAATGAATTATCTAGTTTGTTGGCAAAATGCAGAAAATCTGAGATAATTATCAACAAGAATGAGTATCAATAAGGTGTTTTGTGTGACAAAATAATTTGTTACCGATTTATTGTAGCTATAGCATTCACCTGAGTTGCCCTTCAATGTTTCAATTATATTGTAGATGACTTTTTTTTCCCTGAGTCTAAAGCTGTTAAGATGTGAGATGGTTTTGTGTGTCTTTCCAGTTCTTGTTTCGATAGCCACATGCGGAGTAGGCTGTGAAACAGAATTGTCTCAGTTTTCCTGATTCCAAGGTGATGTTAGCTGCTATTCAGAAACAAGTTTGTTAAGGGGTAATCTTTGGAACAGTGTAATTTTTTTCAAAAGATGCAATCCACTTGCGAGGTTTTCAACAGTTAAAGATGGGAGAGTGTGTTTCTTCTAAGTGTTGCATACACAGTCCTGCTAAACGCTTACCTGCTTAACTGTAAACTGTTTGAAATACCACTACTACCACCCTAATGTCTGTAGCGTTAGTTTTCTTCTAATCTCTGTAGCTCTTTAGATATTAAGTGAGTGCTATCACATTGTTTTATAGGTATTATTACTAGTTATGGCTTGTATATGGATGGTGTTCTGATGCAAAATTCATCACAGCTAAGTTGTTATGCTCATGGACTTGCTCCTTGGAGTCTGCATTCCTTCAGAGTCCAGGCATGTACTGCAAAAGGTTGTGCTTTGGGTCCATTGGTGAGTACCTTAATTTGCATTCTAGGAGTGTAATAAATGTCAGATGGCAGTGAATATCAGAGTAAATGGTGATGATTCACTCTGGTCAGTACTAACCCATCTGGCAAAATGTGACATTTAAAAAAAAATCCTGTTTAAGAGCTGCTAAAGATTTGATAGGTCATTGTTAGGCACCGTTCCAAAGTAGAACATAGGTACAGTGAAGAAAGGCAAAATCTGAGGCTGAAACACACATTATTGAAATTAGATAGAGTTAATATGTTTGAAAGGTGCAGATGTGCTTTAGCCAGATTTATAAGGACGTATATAAAGAAAGAGTTATTGTTCCAATAATGAGCAAGTTTCTAGCTGCCTGACTGAAAGGACTGAAGTTAATTTGAGAATTGCAGAAGCCAGAAGTGGCAACAGGAGCAAGGAAAATATGGTGATCTGTAAATATCTTTCGAATGCAAGTATGTGATCGAAATATTATACTGGACACATTTTAACAGTCTTGTACAACACCCCATTTTTTCAGGCTTTGAGAATACAGGAATATTGAATTTGACATGTGAAAAACAAGCCTTCTGAGGCTTTTTTATTTTGTTAAAGGTTTTTAGATGTATATCTGAACTGATAAATCCAGTATGATTTCATAGTACTGTAGCTGATGAATAACCGGAATATCTACTATGCTTGGTTTTGTTTTCAAGCATAACAGAAAGAAACGTGTGTTAATGCTGAGATTTAATTTTTTGTTTATATTCACCTTTATGTGTGCACTTTTAATTTTGCTAACAAGAAAAGGAAGAAAAAGGAAAAAAAGGAAGATTTGGGAGTTTTTCACGTTGTTCTGTTTATTTTTCCATCATAATTAATAATATAAATATATTGTGCTCTGGAAAGAACTTCCAGGTTTTATTTTTATGATATAATTCGTTAGTCACATTTCCAATATCTGTCCAAAATTGCTTTCTTTCAAATGCTGGTAACATTGTCTATCTGTAGAAGACTAGACTTTATAACCATTAAACATTTTATAGCTTGCTCTACTTTGAAGGATATTTACTCTTAAAAGCTTGAATGGCTTTTTGCCAGTTTTTCTTGTACATTTTTTACAACTTCACATATACCCCAAAAGCAAACCTTGTTTTAAGGTATTCGATGTGCAATAACCTAATCCATTGTGTTAGTAGTGATGTTTAAGACAAGTTGTTACCAGACTTTGCATACAGATGAAATATGTATGTTTTCAGTACTTCTGTCCTATCAAATAGACATCAAAAGGACAGAAGAGAACGGCAGTAGTTAGGGTTTTAAAAAATATTTTTAGTAGCCTTTTTTCACATCTCCACTGAACTGCAGATTCGTAACTTGACTTTTGAAAGAATTCAAAGTAGGGGTCACTGTAGCTGATACTCATCTGCATCCCGTGATCAGTACGCAAACTGTTTTCCAAAGCCAGTGATCCATCTCTAATCACAGGAATTGAAGTACAACATCTTTATTTAGGCTCACCTAAGTGCTGCCAGGAAGTTAAAGCACTGCATCTTCATTTGATTTTTTTGAAAGATTTTTATATCAATTACAGAATAAATCCAACACTTAAAAAACCCAACCCAACCCAAACCAAACGTTTTGCCTCTACTCTAAATAGTATGGGAAACACCTCCCAGCAGTAAACTGATATGCTTCCAGCTATTTTCGTTGCTGATCTTGTGCTTAATGTGCCCTAATTGATGAACAAATGCTATGTGACTATCCTAAATATGGGATTTCTCCTGCTTATGTTTCTGAAGGTGGCTCTGAAGATCTTAATCAGTTATGAGAGCATTAGCAGTTACTGTGTTTCAATAACTTTTTTATTTGTTTTTGTTTAACTTTTCGGTGACTATGATTTATTTTCAAGTGAGATGTAAATTGGTAAAATGTAAATTAAGAAATGCTAAATTTTAATCTCTTTCTAGTAAATCCAGAATATTGTTGTTGTGTCTGTTCTAATTGGTTTTTGTTGCTTAAAAAGGAATAAAAATACGGATTATCAAGAAATAGTGTAACCTCTAATAGATTCTTTAGAGGAATTCAGATGATCTGAAATTCTGCTGGTTTTGAAATGTGTAGCTCTTGTAAATATCTTGTAAATACACAGAAATGGTCAACATTGAATATTTGTCATCTCAACCCACTGCTATTAAACTGAAATTTCAGGGGTTTAGCTTATGTGTATGCTAGTATATTTTTTTTAAACTTAAATGGATGACAATATTTTCCCAATAATATTATTATTCCTATCCTATGATTTAGTGTTACTTATATGATAGCAGAGTATTTTTTATTGTTATTAATAAACACATCTGAAAATATCACAGAATTGTGTATAAAGTAATGTTTAGGAAAAAAGAAAGAAACAGGTTTTCTGTGCCATATCTTTATATACAGAATGTACATATTTTACAGAAAATACTATTTTCAAAATACACTGCAGAGGTGTAGCTGTAGAGGATACTACCTGTACTGATTCTAAACAGCGTTTTAGTATTTTTTTTATACTGAAAAGTATAGTAGGTCATAAAGAAAAGGCTAGAGACACATACAGCTGTTGCAGCTGGTTAGGATGTGGTACAGATTGCTACAGATTCATACTGTTTTAAGAATACTTTAATCCTCTTCACTAGAAAAAATAGTTGGTATTCATTTCTCCATGTTTCTAATGTGGTGAGACTGCAGTACCTGCTTTTAGCAGCACAACTTTACAGGAAATTATTTTAGTTTAGAAAGCACAGTTTAGTCAAATTCTTCCATAAGGATGTTTTTGACTGAAATATCCAAATAATCAATGTGGCACTGATCCAATAAATCTGTGAAGCATTTGTTTATCTTTAAGCATGTACTTTATCCTGTTGACTTTACTGCAACTGCTTACCTATTTTAAATATAATAGAGTGTATGAATATAGAAGAACATGTAGAGATATTGATGCACATCAAAGATATAGCCTGGCACCTGTAAACAATAAACTCTCCAGATTTTACATGCTAAAAAGTAAAACATTCATGTTTCAAGGACAGAGAAAGTATGTTTGGTTATTTTGATGACAGAGCAGGTGTGGCAGATTAAAAATAGCATTTATTAGCACTCCCATGAACTTGCAGCTGAGAGCACTTAGAAAGGTGTGAAACCATCTTATACCTTAGAAAACACCAAATAAATAATGTATGAGAAACAAACTTGTTGCCATAAATAACATAATAGCAAATTATTTTGTTCTGTAGCACTGAATGTTTACTACAAGTTGTGAAATTTAAATACTAAATTTTCTTAATATTGAATGAGCATTTATTTATTTATATTAAAAAAATGTTTCATATCCATTACATTTTCCAGCTCTTTTACAAAATTTTGTTTTCTCTTAAAGATCTACTTTTTATTTCAACTTAAATTTGTTATGTGAAATTAGAAGTTAATTCAGGGAGCAACCAATATTCCGCAAAGGATATTTTTTCTCTATCAAATATCTATAGTAATTTGCTAAAGCATTTAAACACATGTTCCTTACAGTTGTCTTTTAAAATGCAGAAACTAAAAAATCTGTGGTCTTCTATTGCTGCTTCCTCCCCTAATGCTAAGCTGAGATCATTCATCCACATGAGGTGCAATGGTGTTTTCAAGAAATGAATCTTTCATTCTTTTCCAGTATTTATTTCCTGTTCCTTAGAGGGGTCTCCGTATAAAGTATGTTAGTTGCTGAACAGCTTCAAACATATGTAGATGAAAGAAAGTAAAATGATTTCATATTAGGACACCTGCAGTGTTAGTTACATTGTTTTCTAAAGAATAGCTTTTCTTAAAATTTTGCATTTCTCATTCCTTCTCTGTTTGTAAACTATGGTGACAAATCTTGACCTCATGGTTGAACTTACAGGTAGAAGCTCGGACCATGGAAGCTTCCCCCGAGGGAACAGTTGATATATTTGCTACTGTTGATGGGTCCAAAAAAGTTCAATTAAAATGGCTTGCCCCAAATAAACCTAATGGAAAATTGACCTACACAGTCCTTGTCACTGGTCTCTTCTACGCTGATCAAGGTATTTTTTTTCCCTTTATAGTAAGTCTAATGATAGTATTGATACTCCATTTCATTTTTTTAAAAAATTCCTTTAGCACTAATTTTTTCTGCTTTTTTTGCCGCTCCATTGATTATTTTAGAATTATCAATTTAATTCTTTAAGAACTGCTGCTTTGATTTATGGTGCTTTACATTTGTACAAAAACATAAATTGGCAAATAAAGATAAGCCCTCTGTGCTCATTTAGTCTCTAGATATACACATGGAGTCTTATCTCACAACCTTCGTTCAGATAAGGAAGCTATACTCACAAAATTTCAGTTGGTTTGCTTAGAAAAGTGGGAGCCATTCAAGAGAGCTGTTCATAATATGGTTGATTGTGGGTATATCTGAAATTTATATAAGC